CAAAATCTTTATCGACTATATTTGAATTATCTTTCTTGAATTACAATCGAAAATTTTAGACCGGAACTCATCTATTCTTTCGTTGGGAAACATACGTCTTTTTTTTGAATCGAAAAATCGGATTAAGAACTCAAAGACGCAGAATTTTTAAACTAGTCATTAGACCAACACACTTTGTAAGGAACAATCATAGGTCATAACAAAAAAGTGGGTGAAGTGTGGTGTAAATGCAAAAGGGAAAGAGAGAGAGGAGGAATGAATGATGGGCAAAGTGGGAGGGAGGTGGCTTTGGAAGTAAGGAACACTCTCTCACTCATCGCCTCGAAAAGGAACTTTTCTTCTCACAGTAACGCACGTGCGTCGTTGCATCACCCAATGCTCTTCTTCTCATTCTCTTAATTGCTTTCTCTTCTCTCACACACATATTAAAACCCTACCCTCACAAAATACATATCAATCATATACATGTCTCTATATAGGCAATGATCAAGTGAGTTAGTCAATGTAATCATTTTTTTTCTACAAATCATAGAATCTATTTCTACTCGTCCCTTTTGATATCGTAGATTATGATAACTAGTTTGGATTTTAATATTTGGATATTGTAAGGATTTTGTGTAAATGTGTAAATATAAGTAGCATCTGCCAAATGCAATCACCTTGTTCCCAAGTCTTGTTCTTGTCATTATGCCTCTTGCCTCCTCACCATCTTCTTACCAACCTCGGAACAATCATTTCCTTTTTTTTTTTGATGTACCTTCTCTAACATAAAATTATATAAATATTTATAGCCGTTTAAATTACATAAAAATAACCGTCGTCAAATCCATTCAACAGGAAAACAATGTAATTTCGTTGATTAATTGGTAACGGATCACAGAAAAAAACAAAATCATTTGACCATTTAATTTACAACAACAGAAAACGAAAAACCTTAAAATTTGACATTGTTAGTACTTTAGTAGCTTTTATCATGTGTCCTTGTTGAGCTTAATTATAAACCTTTCTATGAAATTAAAGCTTATGCACTATATAATTCAACATATACGCAAAGCTAATTATCACCAACAC